ATCTTTTATGAATCAGTTTACGGCCTGTCGTAAAGACTGCACCATTAACCCTTTCGTCACCAAAACCCTCTTTATCAAAACTACTAAACTAAAGGAAATGTGGAAAAAAAAATTATCTTTTAAATTTCATAAATACATTTCTTTTATTTCTGCTTTTTTCCTTAGTCGATTAGAACAGTATATGTTTGTACTCAACACCAATAGTTTTTTTTCTTGACACAGTCACAGTCAACATTCCCATGTTGGTATCTGCCAAATTTGGATTGTGTGACATAAATTTGCACCAAAATATTGCTAAATACTTTGATTACACTCACAGCCTTTGATAACAAAAATACAAATCATGGGGTTTCTCATCCCTTTTAAGGTTGATAAGCCATCCAAAACGTGTGATTATGTGGTTGGTTGCATGTTATTATTTGCATTTACCATTATTTCTAGTCTGTTGTGCACGACCCTATTAGAACAGACCTGCAACCCATTTTTTGGGTTGTGACCCACCGGTTGAGAAACACTGCTCTGCATTGCATGTAGTAGTGTGATTATTCTGGATTTGTGATAATCCCCATACTGAGATCACGCCAGCCAAATGAATCCCATGGGATAACAATGTTGATTTCAGCTGTATCAACTCTTAAAAGCCAGGAGGGAATTTCACTTAAGCACAAGAACCTTAATGATGTCAAAAGTTACTTTTTACACAACTTGAATTGTGTAATTGATGGATACTGTTTTTATTTTGACACTGCAGCCTTTGTTGGGAAATTCACATTTTCGTTCAAACCTATCACAGATGGTGGCACTCTTGTATGGCCACAATGTTACCACTCAGAAGTTACTTTTCAGGGTTACTGTGTTTGAAGCAGAAAGGAGTTGACACTGTTTTTCTATTACACATTTCATGTTGAAAACGTTTTTACGATTATCTAGTTTACTTCAACTGAACTCAACTATGGGCTTGCATGAGGTTAACATATTAAGAATGAGCCCAGTTCATTCTGTTAAACTGATGCCTTGGGACAAACTAGTAAATTTGTGCTATATCCTTTTTGACTCTATTGCAGTGCATCTTTCATTACAGGTCTTCAAGCTGATCAAGATTCTGGAAACACGTATACACTGTAAAAAAAAATTAATAATACAGTAATAATTTTAACATTAAAAGATTTACTGGAAAGCTAAGGTAAAACATGTTAATTGGTTAACAATAAGTTTTCTTATATACAGTGAAAAACTGTAATAAATCTAACAGGACACTTTGTGTAATTTTACAAGTGAAAAAAAAACGTCATCTTATTTTTAACAGTGAAACCCCGTAAATTTACTTTTTCAGAAATCCCTCTGTGACACTTCACATTTGATGGGTTTTATGTTGCATCTTGTTAAATTAATGTTTATTGCATTATTTTAGTGCCATGAGTGTTACCACGATAGTGATTTGTAATTGTCCAAATAAAATCTGTAAAAACAGAAAGCAAAAAAATGTTACTACCACATACCATTTTATAGTAAAGCAAATTATTAATATATGTAAATATATTTTATCTGTATTAAGTGTATTTTTGGCCATTTTTGTATTTTTAACATATTTAAAATAGATATGTGATAATAAAAATAATAATTATATATATAAACTGTCAAAGTGCACAATGGAGACTCGACCAATTGATTCAAACAGAATTTAGTGTTCCTATTAAGCATAAAAATACACAACACAAATATTGCGTTTTTTTAATCACACTGAATGATTTTAGTTCAGATTTTTTAATTTGAACTAATTTATTTTGATAGTTTTCAGTGATGAATTACATTCATAATCAACACTTAATTTGCCTCATCTGATTGTCAATACATTTTTTCCACTCTGTTTGGAACAGTACGCTGTAAAAAAGTAGTTTGTAGTTTTTACAAAATAATTTTGGCAGCTGTGGTTGCCAGAATAATTTTGTAAAAAAAAATACAGAAAAACAGTAAACACATTTACAGCCCCAAACTGTAAATTTTACAGTATAAAACTGTAATTTACAAACTTTTGAATGTAAACCAGCAAATTCAACAACGCACACTGCTTTTAAATTCTGTTTTGTACCTTTAACATACTGACAACCAGCATAATAATGCAGGTGGTAAAAGAGAAAGCCACATGAAGAATCAAAGCTCATCACAAGTAGCAGTATGTACTAATATATAGAAGGTGCACAGAGTCATTCATGCAAACACAAAACACCATCATGGTAACACACATGATACTTAA